CGCCGCGCCGCGCCGCTCCGCTCCGCTCCGGGTCCTGCTCGGCTTGGGATGCACACGCAGCGTGCGGCCGGAGGGGGGTAGCAGCCGCCGCCTCCAGGTGCGGACTCACGGGGCCGCCGCCACCCGCCGCCACCGCCACTGGAGCCCGGGCGCGCCGAGGTCCGTGTCATGGGGCTGTAGCTGCGGCCGCTGCGGGCTTGAGGAGGGGCGGCGGCAGCAGCAGCAGCGCTCGCTCGCGGGGTCCCTGGTCGCCTGCATGGATGTCTTCAGCTTTGTGAAGATCGCGAAGCTCTCGAGGTAGGGGCTGCGCCGGTTCGCGTGCACCGGGGAGCTCCGCTGCCGCGGACAACTTGGTGCTTGATTTTGCGGGAGGCTGGGGGGAGTCGCAGAAGCAGGGGCCGGCTCCGGGGCCCGGACTGGAACGGCGTGGCCAGGGGCTACCGCCTCCAACTTCTTTGCTCACTGGTTCTCCGGTGAAGACCGCACAGGCAGAGCCCCACGCGCGCTCACGCACACCCGGAGCTTCACGACAGTTTGTTTTCCCCCAGGAAAAGCCCCGGCGCTGCTCGGGGTCACATGGGCAAACCAGGGCCAGGAGGACATGGTTGTAGTTGCTTTTGCTGCTACTGCTACAAGCCAAAAGTGCTTCCAAGTAGCAGCGACAAAAAGTGTCCCTGCCTTCCCCCCTTGCCCCTAAATTAGACCTCCACACCCCGCAAAAGTCAGTTTGTAGGTTGACTCAGGTCGAGTGTTCCTAGCAGTGACCTAGATGGTAAAGTCCTAGCGCTACAAGGGAAAGACCTTCAGCATTTGGTAACTGCATGTCCCTCAGCCTGGAGAGATGTAGAAATGTGTTGGCTATTGGCTGTGTTGTGGAAAACCAAAGGAGGAAAAACCCACCCCAAACCAGCCCAACCTGATTCAGAGCGATTTCTGCTCCCGTTGCCTGACTGGAGCTCTCCTAGTCCTCTGCCCTCCGTGGGTTTCCAAAGTCTCCATACTAAGCGCCAGAAGAGCCATCCGTCAGCCTCTTGAGTTGTGGCCTTAACATGGGAAGAGCAGATACGTGAGGTCTGCAGAAACCCTGTCCAACTTTCTCTCCCTAGCCCCTGGCCTTCAGAGCCCTAACCACCAGCTCAGGAAGGTAGACAGTGGGGTTCCTCCCCGCTCCCTCACTCAGGGATGAAGCTCAAAGAGCTGCACACAAGACCGAGTAATTCTGCGTTTGTCTTCATTCCTTAGCATCAGGTGGGCTGTGTTGATTGCATCAGGCAGGAACAGGCAGCCTTAGATACCCCGAGCCAGAAACATGTTGACTTTGCTTTGCCAGATTACGTTTAGGCCTTTTCAGAAATGGTCGGTCCGGATGTTGCCCTTTCCAACATCCACAGCTCTTCGTGGTCCCTCTCCCCTCACACTGGTACATCTGACTGTCACTGGGACATGCCCCCTAGGAAAGGACCCCCACGTCACTGATAGAATGGCTAGATAGAGCTGATGGGTCAGTCTGCCTGCCCTGGAGCTCCCACATACTGGAAGCCTGTTGGGTTGAGCAGTGGGTGATTGCACTGTGGCCCGCCCAGTGCTTGGTTTCACACCCATACCAGAGAGAGCCCTGGCTTCACACCAGTATTCTATTCCTGCCCGCCTCTGCCTGTAGCTGCTTTAGAAACCGCTGTCAAATCACCCGTGGATGCAAATTGGCTGTGGGCAACAGTTTAGAAAGTGCACGTAGCCCTCTGTGTGTTGGACGAAGAGATTGCTGAAGGGGAAAAGGACCTCCAGCTAACAGTATGAAGCAACTTAAAGAGTTTGCAGAGCCCTGGGATACTTCAGACAGCAAGCTTGAACAAAACATCTAGTGCCTAGGGTCTGTCCTTAAACTTGAAAGCTTGGGAGAGGACATTCTGTCGAGAGGAAGGCTGTGCTGAATTCTAGGATGCCTCCCATGATGATCTTTATAAATCGGCCTATTTGCAAAACCCAACGCAGGAGTGTCGATTAGTATCTTTTGTTTTTTTTTAAAAAGAGAGAGTTTGGACTCCAGTTAGGTGTGGATTTCACTTTCTATCTTTACTGTGATGCCACAGAGAGTTAATTTTGAAGAGAAAAGAACACATGGCCTGAGCGGATGGGCCCATTAAGAAATCTTCCATCCCTAGGAATTCTGCCTTTTCCTCTGTGTGAGCTTACCGCTGGTCCCCAGGCTGAGCTAGAAATACCTCGAGAGGGCCATCAGCTTGCAGAAACACACATGAAACACACATCAACTGCCCTGCAAGGATTAGAGGGTTATGTGTGTGTGTGTGCCTGCGCTTGAAAAGGTGTTGCAAAAATCAACTTCTTTTCTCAAAGGTGGAGCAGCAAAGTGCTTGCATTGCAGGATTTGCCTGATTTCAGAATGGATAATCTTCCTAAAGGATTTAGCTTTGATCAATGTGGTTACTTGAGTGCTTAAAATTCTCTTGGTTTCTTTCGAGGGGGGATGCACAGACTTACCTCAGGCCTGCATCTTGCCTTTTGAGCCCAAGAACTCTGAGTGGTGATTCAGCCAGCATTTGCTGTGGGGAAGCATAGCCGATTTTTGTCAACGATCCCCTCCATGAGTAGTGATGTTGATCATTACCGAGAACTTGTGCTTGCCACATTACCTACACTTATTTTTTTATTTTGTATTTTTTCTAGAATCCATGCCTTTTAAGCATGTGAAGAAGTAGAATTCTGATTTCCCTTCAAGTATTCAATATAGTTTTAGGGTCATCATTTTTTAGCTCTCTTTTTTCCCCCTTTCTGCTAAGTTTTGGGCTGGCTTGCAAGTTGTGACCCTTTACATCATCTGAATTAGGACCCTTACTGCACCCATCAGAGGTGACACACTGGGCCATGGTACAATCTGGACCTGCTGTTTGTTTTGGTGTTTTGCCCCCCCCCCACCTTGTTCTTCTAATTTTCTGGTTATTAAACTGCTTGATAGTTTATATGGAATTTTATTTCACTGTTTCCTTGGTAACAGTTATATATCATTTCCATCCCTGTAGATGAGAGCATTATAGATGATTGCCTTATAAACCAGTAATAGTATAAAAATAGGCATATATTTTTATTGTTACTGTTCCTTGTATCAACGGTTTCATTTGTAAAGCAGATGCACTCTTTTCCAAGGTTTGTAAAAGAATGTGATTTAGCTGAAAAACATACGATTACGTCCCTTTCGCTGGAAGGGGGAGCTGATTGAAGACCTCAAAGTTCTGAGAGTGCTCTTGTACTGAGAGATGCTTCTATGGAATGTACCTGAGTTTATGTCTTTTATTTCTTAAGCAAAATGACACATCTTGAGAGGATGAATAATACCATAATTATTTTTACAGCAATAAATAAAGTTTAGGGAGGTGCTTTATTTTGTATTACTTATTTTATGGCATATAGCAGTGTTAGAATATAGTTTCTTACAAATATACGTTTGAGGAAGTAAAAAAATAATGGATCTATAAATCCCTTAGATTTTCCTGTAAAACCTAATTGAAGATGATGAAGCTTCTATTCCTTCCTTCCTTCCTTCCTTCCTTCCTTCCTTCCTTCCTTCCTTCCTTCCTTCCTTCCTTCCTTGTCTGAATCTTGTTCAGGAGGAAATATTTCCTAGGGGAAAGGGAAGTTACAGGAGTGCAAAAAGTCAGATTCCCCCCATCTCCTCTATCTTCACCCAAGTAATTGCCTTAATATTGCTGATAAGTGTGCGCTCAGGAGGCCAGCCAAGCGAAACCCCCGAAGACTGAGAATTTGAATTTTATTAAAAACTCTACTTGTGCATCATCTGATTCCTTTCTGAGTTCTGCTGATTTTGGTGGCTGTCAGGAGGTGAAATGATGAACGGTTTCATAACAGAACCAGATTCCTGTGAGGAATATTTAACTTTCCTTTCCCAGGGGTTGCTAGTTTGCAGCTGTGATAGTCTAGTCGCTAGCTGTTCTGGGGAAAAAGTGTCTGGTTCAGGTTTTGTACCATAAACACAGCTTTAGCAAGTTACTCTCTCTTCTCTCCTCTTTCCATCTCTCTCTCTTTATTCTCTCGCCCTCTCTCATATTCTCTCTCCCTGTCATATTCATTTCATTCTCTCTCTCTCACCCCCTCCTTCCCTCCCTCCCTCCCTCCTTCTCTCTCTCTCTCTCCTCTCTCTCTGTCTCTCTCTCTCTGTCTCTCTCTCTCTCTCTCTCTCTCTTTCTTCCTCCTTCTCTGCCCCCCCCCTTAACTGATTCTCATCACCTTCTTACTGTCTGCCTTTGATACATACAGGCTGTCAGTTGCAGTGAGACTTGGACGTCAGTTGCACTTTTTCTTCCTTTAAATGAATGACCTGTAAATTAACACTTTCTGCTTTGTGATCTTCCAGCTGTTCATATTCTCCCTTTCCAGACACACCTCCGTGTACACGCGTGTGCGTGCATGAGTATGTAGACACACACAGAGTTCAACTTTATGACTCCATTTTGTTTTGCCATGTAAGTGTTTCAGTGAGAAAATACGCATTATTGGTGAGCTTGTAATTTTATCATTAAGGTATGGTCTTGAAACCCCAAATTTCATACTTGACTCAAGAAAAAGAATTGAGAACAAGATTTTGGGGGGGGGTTGTTTTTAGTTTGCAGAGAACTACAGTCCTGAAATGTGCCATCTTTTACTGGCAAATGAGCTTGAACTTTGAGAGGTAGTCTTAGCAAGGAAAGAAATGTAACGAAGAGGTTAAACCAGGATTTGGCAAATTCTGGCCTGTGGGCAAACTCCCATGCAGTCAGTGCCCATGTTTGGATGGCTCATGAGCTGAGATCCAGCCCCCCCCCCCGAATGTGTCAAACAGACAAGCAAACAAAACAGAAGAAGAAGAAGAATATGAAATTCAGATTTTATTGTTAACAGAACTTTTTCCAAACACAGCCATGCTCAGTCATGTATACATTGTCTATGGCTGCATTATGGTGACCAAGTTGGATAGATGCTACTGTGAGTCCCAAAAAGCCCAAGCTCTGTGCATTCAGACCCGTTACGGAAAAAGTTTACTGACCTCTGGGCTAAACAATGCTCCTTCCTTTTTGCCATTATTGATACGCATATGGGTGTATGTGTGCATCCAAATACTATACAATTGAGCATATTAAGTACATGAATTCACTAATATACATTCACAATTTATATTTTACCTCAAGGCCTAGTGGGTAAGGAGTTAAGTTGCCAACCCAAAGGCAAACGTTTCAAATCCACTGACTGCTCTATAAGAGAAAGAGCTCTGAAAATGCACTGGAGGG